GTGAAAAGAGGGCTACAATCCTTCAGACCCCAGAATGGTAGATCCACTGACAACTTGCAACAATGTGCCTGGAAAAGCCACAGGCATTCAATGTAAGCCTGTGAAACCAGCCAAAGAGCTGTACCCTGAAGAACCAGAGGGTCAGAGCTGTCCAAGGCCTTAAGAGCCCATCCCTTGCATCAGCATGCTCTGAATGTGAGACATAGAGTCAAAAGAAATTATTTTGGAGTTATAAGATTTAATGACTGCCCTGCTTACTTTTCGACTTGCATGGGGCCTGTAGCTCCTTTGTTTTGGCCAATTTCTCCCTTTTGGAATGGGAGCATTTACCCAATTTCTGTACTCCTACTGTATCTTGGAAGAAACTAACTTGTTTTTGATTATACAGGCTCAAGGGTAGAAGGGGTTTACCTTTTCTCAGATGAGACATTGGACTTGGACTTTTGAGTTAATGCTGGAATGAGTTAAGACTTTGGGGGGACTGTTGGGAAGGCTTGGTTGGTTTTAAAATGTAAAAAGAACACAAGATTTGGGAGGGCCTGGGGGCAGAATGATATTGTTTCTTTCTGTGTCCCCACCCAAATCTCATGTCAAATTGTAAACCCTATGTACTGAAGGTAGGAACTGGTATGAGGTGATTGGGTCATGAGGGCGGATTTCCCCCATGCTGTTCTGGTGATGGTTAGTGAGTTCTTATGAGGTCTGATGGTTTAAAACTGTGGCGCTTCCCCCCTCACTTCTCTCTCTCTCTCCTACATTGCCACAATAAGACCTGTTTAGTTCACCTTTGCCTTCCATCATGATTGTAAATTTCCTAAGGCTTCCCAGCCATGGTTACTATACAGTCTGCAGAACTGTGAGTCAATTACTTCTTTTCTTTGGAAATTACCCAGTCTTAGATAATAGTTTCTTATAGCAGCGTGACAACAGACTAATATAGCCAAGTACTAGGCCAGATGTTTGAAATACAGTGTGAGCAAAATAGTCATGCTACTTGCTAGCATGAAGATCACTATGTAGACATTAAACTAACAAATCACACAAATACACACACAATAACAAATAGTGATAAGTGTTAGCAAATAAAATGATAGGGTACCATCATAGAGTATAGCACAAGAAACCTGATTTTGATGAGGTGAATAAGAAAGGCCTTCTTCAAGTTGCTCATGAGATAAAGACTGGGAAGAATTTATGTATCTGCCTCCCTGAGAATATTTTGAGAAATTATCCCTGTAATTCAGTTCAAGTCAATGTATCCCCAACCTCCAATGCAGTTAAAGTCAATAAATATTTACTGAGAAAGTACTATGTGCCAGGCACTGCTCTAGACACTTCGGATACATCAATGAATAAACCAAAACTCTGCCTTCCCCATGGCACTGTTGTCTACCGGGTAGATAGGTATATTAGCTATATACATGATAAATCAGTAAGTTACCTAATTCATTAGAGGTTGATAAGTGTATAAAAGAAAACAAAAGGAGAGTAGCTTAAGGGGAACAAAGGATGGGGACCACAGCTTTAAATAGGATGTTTAGTGTAGGCCTGATTGACAGGAGCTATTTGAGCAAACACTTGAAGAAAGTGAGGGAGTTAGCATAAGGATATCTGTGGGAAGAGCTTTCAAGGCAGAGGGAGTATTCAACGGATAGGAGCTAAGGAGAATGTCTGCATGGTATGTTTGAGGAAAACAAGAGGCATGGTGCAACTGGAACAGATTAGGGAAAGGAAGTTTTAGATGGAGCCAGAGAAGTGATGGGGGAGGAGCTAGTGTAGAGGACTTTGGTTGTTTTTTTTTCTTTTTCTTCCTTCTACGTGTAATAACATACTCTGGCAGTGTTTTGAGCAGAGCAATCATGTGAACTCTTTTGGGTGTTTTAATAGAGTACAATAGCTGACCAAGTGAAGATAAACTAGGTATAAGAGCAGAAATGGAGTTCAGTTAGGAGGCTAGTACAGGAATCCAGGAGAAAAAAATGAATGGGTATAGTTAAGTAACAACAGAGGGGGTAACAGGGGACCAGATTCTGGACATGAGTTGATTTCCTAATTAAATAAATTAAATCAATAATTAATAATTTTTTCAAAACAGAAAGTACCAGGGCCAATTGGGTTCACTGGTAATTTCTACCAAAAATTTAAGAAAGAAATTAGTTTTCCCTTATCCACAGGGTATGTATTCCAAGACCCATTGTGGATGCCTGAAACCACAGCTAGTACTGAAGCCTATTTACCCTATGCGCAAATTTCTTTTTCCTTCTTTACAATTGTAGAAATAGATTTGTTCTTACTGTAGATCTTAGCAACTTCAGCATACAATTTTTTTCCTCATTGAGAGCTTTCACTATTTCACTTAATAAAGTACTTTACAGTTTATCTTTAGCATACCCAAGTTGCCAGCATTACTACTTTTTTTCTTTGAGGCCATTAATGAGCAAAATAAGAATTACTTGAACACAAGCACTGTGACACCACGACAGTCAATCTGATGACCAAGACAGTTACTGAGCAACATGGGGCAGCATATATAGCATGGATATGTTGGATGAAGGAATGACTCATGTCCCAGGCAGATCCAAGCAGGACAGCATAAGATTTGTTCATGTTACTCAAAACGATGCACAACTTAAAACTTATAAATTGCTTATTTCTGGAATTTTCCACTTAATATTTTCAGACCACAGGTAATTGAAGTCATGGAAAATGAAACCACAGAAAAGGGAAGACTACTGTAATTTGTCTTTTTCTCTGTGTGCTTTTAAGGTTTTTCTTTACCACTGAGTTAAGCAATTTGATTACAATGAACTTTTGCATGGATTATTTCAAATTTCTTGTGTCCAAAGTTAATCGAGATCCTTGGGTCCATGTCTTTACAGTTTTCTCCAAATTTGAGAATCTTGCAGCTATTATTTGTTCAACATACATTTCTTCCCTTCACCCCCCTCTTCCCTTTCTGAGACTCCAATTTCCCATGTATTAGGCTGCTAGTGTCACAGGCTCAATGATGTTAGTTTTTCTTTAATTTTTTCACACTGAGTTTTATTTTAGATACTGTCTATGTCTATGTCATCAAGCCCACTTATTTGTTACTGTGTGTTTTATATTCCATTGCTTCCATCATTTTTTCCTTTAGGCACTCTATTTTTAAAATAAACCTTATTTTTTGGAGTAGTTTTAGATTTTACAGAAAAAATGTTAAAGATAGTACAGAGAATTTCACATACTTCGTACTTGGTTTCTTTTTTTGTCAGTATCTTACATTAGTATGATACTATTGCTACAGTTAAAGGACAAATATTGACACATTATGATTAACTGAAGTCCAAAATTCCAATATCCTTAGTTTTTGCCTAATATTCCCTTTCTGTTTCAGATTTCCTCCAGGCTAAACCATTACATTTAGTCTTCATGTCTTCTTTTGCTCTTGTTGGCTGGGGCAGTTTCTCAGATCTTCCTCATTTTTAACGGCCTTCATAATTTTGTGGAGCACTGGCTAGGCATTGTGTAGAATGTTCCTCTGTTGTGAACTGTTTAGTGTTTTTCACATTATTACATGTATTTTTTATCTTCAGAAGTTCTATTTGGATTTCTTTAATCTTCCATGTCTTTCATTATGTTCATGTTTTCCTATGCCTTCTTGAACATGTGAAGTATATTTATAAGTGCTCTGTTAACATGCTTGTTTACTAATTGTATTGTATGTGTTGTTTAGGAATCTGCTTCTATTAATTGGTTTTTCTCTGAATAATAGGTCCTACTTTTCCTGCTTCTTGGTGCTTTGCAATTTTTGAATACATTTTAGAAATTGCGATGTTTATATTGTTGATTGTTCAATATTTTCTGTTCCTTTGAAACTGGGGGTTTTGTTTTTAGATGTAATTAAATTACTCAAAAACATTTTGATCATTTTTAAGCTTTGTTAGAGTTTTAAGATTTGTTGAGTTTGTCTGGGGTAATTTGGCCCCATCATTACAATGCTGTGCGTTTTTAAGGTTTCTACTCAATACCACATGTGTTACGAGATTTCCTCACTAGCTGGTGGAAACATGAAGTAGGACCAATCCCATGTAAGATCTAATGATGTGTCCACTTCATTTTGTTAGGGTGTTGCTTTCTCTGGCCTTGGATTGTTGTCTCAAATGAATGTATCTGCCAGCATTCAAATGAAGATCTAGGGGTAACTCTTGGAAATCTCCAGCAAGGACTCCCTGGGGATTTCTTGCTTCTCTACTCCTCTGTACTGCAATTTTAGCCTATTTGACCTTTTTGAACTTGAAACTCTGTCCCTTTAACTCGGAGAATGCTGGGCTCTGCTTGAATTCCCCCTTCCTATGCAATAAGGCTCACTTGCTTTGTTTTTCTTTTCCCAGAAGTCATTGTTTTGTGCTGCTTGCTGTTCGATGTCTGAGAATCTTCATATATTTTGTCCCATTTTTAGTTGTTCAAGGTGGAATGGTAAATCTAGTCCCTGACAGTTGTAGGTTCTAAGCGGAAGTTTCCTGCTTTGTTTTTCTATGGCAAGACCCTTTGATCTCAGTAAAAGCAAACATGCTTAACTCTGTCAAGTGATGTAATTGATTGTTTCACACATAGAACTCCTACTCTGAAGACAGACCTATGTGTTTGGTATCCTAACAGAAGACAGAGTGAATATAACATTCGGGCTGCTATCACAAAATGTCATCACTAGGTAGGAGTCTAGAAAATCCAAGATGAAGGTGCTGGCAGGTTAAGTTCTTGGTGAGGGCCCTCTTCCTGTCTTACAGATGTCTACCTTTTGTATCCTCATATGGCAGAGACAGGACACTCTCATATCTGCTCTAGTTACAAGGACAATAATTTCATCATGGGGTTTTACTGTTATGACTTAATCTAAACCTAATCACCTCCCAAAGGCAGTCTCAAAATGCCATCATATTTGGGGTTAAAGCTTCACCATATCATTTAGGAAGGGGTGGTACATACAAATATTCAGTTCTTAGCAGAAGTTCACTTACTTTATTTCATTTTGGTAGCCCAAATCTTGATGGCTAAGCAATGTTTCCAGCAGGCTCAGGGGCAGATATAATCCATGCTTCCCACATATAGCCCTGACCTGCAAGTTAAAAAACAAAATTGATGTTTCAATAGAATACAATCAGTATTTGTGTTTTTTCTCATAATGAGAAGCTATGTGATTTTGACAAAGATTTACTATTCAGGAGTGCTTTCTACCATTGAGAGATCCTTAAGGATATCATTTAGGGCAAGAATGTCCAACCAAGTACTTACCAGCAAGTTTTTATTCAGTTGACACAGAAGTATTACTTCATTACTCAGAAGGTACTGGGTTTTGAAATTCTGATCTTACACTTTTATCAGCCATGGAATGCGTAGTCAATGCCTATGAATTATATGTACTTCATTATAGAGATAAATTGCTAAATGTTTTTGTATCATCCATTTTGATTTGGAAAACAAGCTTGTTGTATTTGTGGGATTAATATTACTCTCTACGTTTTACATATGAGGAAACAAAGACTTGGAGAGGCTAAGTATTTTCTTAATGTCACATAGCTAATAATTTATAGAACTTAGTCTAGAAAGCAGATGTTCAGATAAATATTTGTTGAATGAATGAATGAGGTATCAGTGAAGTTTCTGAAGTTCATAATATGTTTGAAATCTTGTTCTGAACTAGAGCACACTAGGTCAGTTCTCAGGTTGGTGGGTAAGTGACATTTAGACTCAAATATTTCAAACCTTTAGGGTGCAGTAACTTTTGTTGTATATTTAGAACAATGGTTAAACATATAACAATAGAATCAAGCAAATCTTATTTGAACACCACATCTGCTGCCTGTGATCTCTCTGACCTTGGGAAGTTGCTTAAACTTTTTATGTCCTACAACTTCATTTACTAAATGAGACTAGTACTTTCTACTTCCCAGGACTCTGTGAGGACTGATGATAAAAATAGCATTTAGAAGAGTGCCAGGGCTCTTAGTAGGCAGTTGATCAACATTTGATGAAATGAAGAAAAGACAGAGGGAGGAGAGAGGAAACAGAAGGAGAGAGAGGAAAGAAGAGAGAAGAGGGGAGAGGAGAGAAGAAGTGAAATAGAGGAATGAAAGAAGGAAGAAGAGAGAAAGCAAGGGAGGGAGAAAGAGAGTCAGGGAGGTATCAAGGAAGGAAGGAAGGGGAGAAGGAAAGGAAAAAGAAATGTAGAGTTTAGTGTTCGGACTATTTACATTAAATTAGACATTTCTAATAATTACTATGTAAGTAAATAAATATATAAATAAATAATAGCAGTTACTAAATCGTTATTTAGTCCAAATATAACTACAGTTGAACATCCTTAATCCAAAAATCCAAAATCTGAAACTTTGAATGCTGACAGGACACCACAAGTGCAGAATTCCACATATTAGTACTTAACACAAACTTCATTCCATGCACAAAATTATTACAATTATTATATAAAATTACCTCCAGGCTATGTGTATAAGTGACATATGAAACATAAATGAATTTTGTGTTTAGATTTGAAGTTCTGTCCCCAAGGTATCTCATTATGTATATATAACTATCCAAAATCCAACAAGAAATTCAAAACCCAAGCCACTGCTGCTCCCAAATATTTCAGACAAGAGATACTTGACTTTTATTTTTAGTCACTGTTATTATTTTGAGGAAGTTCCGTCTAGTGCCTGTATTAAGCGTGTCATTTATATTGATGCTTCAACCTTCATGGGGCTTTGTTGACCCTGGAGAGTCTGCCCATCCTAAAGTGTGCCTTTCATCAGCTAAGCAACTTACCAAAGCCCATACTCCAGCCATCTCCTTTATGGATGCTCTCACAGAGCCACTATTTCCCTGCTGCAATCCCCCTGGGGCTAGGTACAGAGCCTGCTGTTTATGCAAGCTAGCCGATCCTAAGCCTGCTTACCCTGCTCTGTTCATTCCTTCCCAAAAACCCACAAAAAAAGTCTTGTGCCCACATTCACCTCACTCTTTCTGCCTTCTGACAGAACCTCGCACTTCCTCTGGCTCTGTGTGGTGTGGCGTGCCCTCTCCTCTCAGCAACCATGAGAAACAAACTATCTTTTCAGTAGCAATCATTTTATCTCCTGATCTGTTGGTCTCACCATACCAGAATAATCATAAAAATGACATTTTAAAATGGCAACAAAAAGCTCATCTTCATTTGTCTTTATGAAAAGAAAGACAACCAATCTGGGTTTGAAACTTGCATATTCCTATGTATAGAGGAGAAATTTCAGCTTAAAAGAGGAAAAAAAAGATTGATTTGAAACATGAAAAAATGAATAGAGTTTGCTAGAAGAATAAGGAGTTGGGGGCATTCCAGGCAGACGAAAACCATGTGTAAATAAATAATGGGTGAGACAGAGCATGGTGCTTTACAGAAGCAGCATATATTTTGACGCTATCCATTCTGCTATCATATCCCTTTTCAGGGTGGGCAGCAGTTATCTGCTATTTGCTGAGCATTTCTACAAGGCAGTAGCTTATTCAGGGCTGGGATTGGGTTTCATTCATTTTCTTTCACCATTGCCTAGCACAGTATTGGAAAATAAAGGCTCAATAATTATTGAATAAATGTATATATGGATAAATGAGGGCATGAATGCATGAGTTGAATTCACTGAAGAGAGAAGTGTGCGTGGGTGGAGGCTAGCAAAAAATAAAGTTCAAGAGTCAGATTGGTCACACTATGCCATTTTACTCTATAAATAAGTACTGCACTATCTTCATGGTTAGAACATATTGACGTATTTTTAAACATCAATATTAAGAGATTATTCTAAAAACAGATCACTTACTTCTGGCAACACTGAGTTTTGCTTTAGGCTAAAATGAACAGCATGTTAGAAATAGTACATCAGGGTTCCTAGAAGCAGACTGATTGATAGCTGCTAAGAACTGACTGCTGCCGGTTATAGAGGCGCAACAGAAACGTCTACCAGAAAATCACAGCAGTTCCTCGTTAATCACGATTATTATTAAAATCCTTTAAAACATCAATATTCATAATGATGACCCTTGGTAAGAAAATATTTCTATGTAGTTTCTTCTGTTTAATAAGGAATTTTTTTTTTTTTTTTTGAGATGGAGTTTCTTTTTTTTTTACCCAGGCTGGAGTGCAATGGCGCGATCTCAGCTCACCGCAACCTCCACCTCCTGGGTTCAGGCAATTCTCTTGCCTCAGCCTCCTGAGTAGCTGGGACTACAGGCACACACCACAGTGCCCAGCTAATTTTTGTATTTTTAGTAGAGACAGAGTTTCACCATGTTGACCAGAATGGTCTCGATTTCTTGACCTCGTGATCCACCCGCCTCGGCCTCCCAAAGTGCTGGGATTACAGGCTTGAGCCACTGGGCCCGGCCGGAAATGTTTTTAATCAGAAGTAAAACATCTGTTATTAAAGATAACATGTGGAATAAATATTTATTTCCCAAAATGGTCCTTGAAAGAGCGGTGTGCACTGTCTCAGCTCCCTCTTTTCCCACAGGTAGCTTCATTTGCATTTTATCCCTTCATTCTGTTTAAACTGTTTACCAAGTTACTAACAACCTCCATGATTTTAAATTTAGTGAATACTTTTCTATCTTATTTATAGATGATCTCGTTGCAGTGTGGGACACGGCCGATCATGCCATCCTTCTCCAAACTCTGTTTTGTTTTGTGTTTTTGAGCACTCCTGTGCCACCTTCGACTGTTTTGAATTTTCTTTGTTGGCTTCTCTTTGTTTACCTACTCCTGGGCAGTGAGTGCTCTCCTCAGCCTTCTTCCATTCTCACTTGCCATTACGTCATTGGTTAACCTTAACTACTGTGAATTCCACTCCATATTTAAAAGTCTTCAGTCTTCACCTCTCTACAAGATCAACATGTTCAAAACTGAACTCATCACTCCTTCGTCTACCCCTCTCAATTTACTCCTTTTCTGTTTCCTATTTCAGAGAATGGCACCACTAACCATCAAGTTGCCAAAGCTAGAACCTTGCAAGTCATTCTCAATTTCTCTTAAGTCAGGGCCTGTATCCAATTAGTCATCGAGACTTGCTTTTCTACCTCCTTGGTGTCTCCATCCCTCCTGTTCCTGCATTGGCTTAAACCCTCATAATATCTCACCTGGATTATTGAAACAGCCTTCTAAAAGATCTCTTGGCCCCTGGTTTTGCTTGCTTCTAATCAATTCTCCAAATTCAATTGGAATGCTCTTTTTTCCCATTGAATCTGATCATATTATTTATTTGTTTAATATCCTTTGATGATTCCTTTGGACCTTTAGGATAAAATTCACACTTCTTAGAAAGACCCTTAATAAACTGGCTCCTAGTTTCCATTCTAAAGTTGACTTGAGCAGGACTTAGAGTTCCCCGATTTAGCCATGCTCTCAGGTCAGTGCTTTCACATTGAGACTTTTACCCCTGTCCCCCCATTTTTTGTTTGTTTTTGAGATGGAGTCTCGCTCTGTCACCCAGGTGGGAGTGCAGTAGCAGGATGTCTGCTCACTGCAACCTCTGCCTCCTAGGTTCAAATGATTCTCCTGCCTCAGCCTCCCGAGTAGCTGGGACTACAGTTGTGCACCACCACACCCAGCCAATTTTTTTATTTTTAGTAAAGACAGTGTTTCACCATATGTTGGCCAGGATGGTCTCAATCTCTTGACCTCGTGATCTGCCTGCCTAGGCCTCCCAAAATGCTGGGATTACAGGCATAAGCCACCATGCCCGGCCCCCTTTCCCCCCATTATTTGCCAAACTTGCCTGTCCTTTAAGATTCAGTGTTTACATATCACCTTTGGAGAGCTTTCAGGTGAGGGCACATTGGTGTTCCTTCTCTGTGTTCAAAGTTACTGCCTATCACACAGAATTGTGATGACATGTTTAAAACATTGCCTTTTTCCTGAGCTCCTGGAGAATTCAGGAGCCCAAACCATAAAAGTCTGTTGTCCCCAGTGCCTGTCACAGTACCCAGAACACACTGAGTGATTATTATGTCAAATGCAAGAATGGATTAAATATGCCATATTTATCAGAAAGGTGGCTGTTTCATTGAAAGAGGAGAAAGACTCAAAGTTAGTAAAAATCTTTTTTTATACTTTTAAGGCAGAGTGTACAGTTATGGAAAATACTAAATATGAAAAAACAACCTGACAAACTACAGAAGGAGGTCTTTAGGTCCTGGTCTGCTTAAATACATGTCCTAGCTACAGTCTTGCCACAATAATAAACTTCACACTCACCAACACAGGCTTTGTCAGTAAGAGGACTCCTTCCCAATAATAATGAAGAAGCTACATGAAAATGAAGACAAAACAGTAATTAAAACAGAAGGAGCTAGCTAGAGCATAGCTAGCTTCTTCTGGGAGGCAGGTTTGGGAGCATTTTGGAAGGGGTTTGTACTGTGAAGCAGAAAGAGAATGAGTTCAAATGGTGAAGAATATGGATTGTGTATAAAAGGGTTAAACTGAGCCTGCATGCATAGAATGTCTTAGGTTCTACAACCCGATTGAAGCTACACCTGACTTGGGTAATGGTCAGGGAAGTTAAATAAATGAATGTGTATCCGCATTGCTTCAGCAGTCCTGACAAAAGCCATCATTGCATTGAAGGTATGCTAGAGGAACAGGATGAGTACTGATCTTTGTGAATGGTCAAATTCCATTGATTTTAGTGATGAGACCCACAGAATTTTCCTTTAAGACTGCATTTATTTATCTTGAAAGTTACAGATGATCTGTGAACCATCTGAAATGGTGGCTGTGTGGATGTGCTTTAATTTTTTTTTTTAATCTTCCTGGAGAGAGAATGGATAGCTTTCATATTCTATGACTCTCTCTCCTGTACCCAAAGAAAATTCAGAGCTACTGGTCAAAACAACCCCCCCCCCATCAAAAAACACCCTTTTAACTCAGACATAACCTTTCCTGGTCCATCCGAAGTCCCGTGTTCAGGAGTAAAGGAATTGAGGTATGACAGTGGCTGCTTCTTGCTTCCAATGTTCCTTGGGCCTCAATTTGCCTCATGTTCTGGGGAAACAGAATTCTATTTAACGCCTCCCAGAATGGTACTATACTCTGAGTGAGTTCCAGATGTCTTAAGAGATGCCAGATGGCTCACGAAAGGCAGACCAGCTTCAAGGAAAATGTAGCCCATTTCTTTGGATTTGAACCATAAAGTCAAGCTTTCAGGGCCAGTTATCAGGAGAAGAACATTCAAGATTCACGGTCTGCCCTGAAAACCAGACCTCAATGAGGCCATCACTTGACTGTGGGGATATTCTTCTTTTTTAGGCTGTTTGGGAGTAAGACTCACCAAACACTGATTTTTTTTTTTTAATGTAAGAAGGAAAGGAAGCATATTCAGTGAGGGCTCGTAAATCAGATAATATGCTAAATGCCTTCACATGTTTATTTTATTTAATCCTCACACAGACATAGGAGGTAGATATTTGGGACCCAGATTTTCCAGTGGAAAATCTGAGACTCATAGAGGTTTAGTAAATATATTTTGATTTTCAAGTTGTTTATGTTTCACTCTATGAGTATCATCTGAGAATATTCAACCTTCACCATTGGGTTATGTGGTTTCTAATCTAAGAAAAAATTGCTGCTAAGAATTTTTAGACTAAGAGTCTATTTCTGTAGATCTTCTCACAAGCAAGTAAAGGCCATATGTGATGTGTGGACTCCCTGCAATGCTCTATCTCTCTTCCCATGAAATATGCTTGCATGTATAATATTCAAACATACACACACACACACACACACACACACACACACACACACACACACACAGTTTTGCCTTTGCATAGTTGATTTTAAATATGGAAATTAAGAGAAAAATGCTTTTGTCCTAGAATAATAACCCATTTTCAGCATATCATGTGCTTGCTCCTTAGTAAATATCACCATTCTTTTAAATTCTCTGACTCCCTCAATTCTAACTTCTGTATACCTAGATGAAAGACATTTTCCAATCTTTCTAACAGGAAGTTTTTGGGCTACAATTTCCAACTCTTTCTAAACTTCTGGAATTCTAACTTTTGTGTATTGGACATAATGGACTCATCCAGATATCTTTACCTAATGAAGTGCCATTTCTGGCTCTCCGTTTTCATAACTCTTCTTAACTTTGAATCCTGGCCCTGCCACTTGTTAGCTGTGACTCTTGGGTGATTCAATTGGCCTCTTTGAGACTAGTTTTTAAAATTTCTTAGGTGGGTATTATAAGGGTTGCCTAGATTTTGTAGCATTTTGTACAGAATTAACATTGTAGGTGTTATATGAGATAATGTAAGCAAAGCATTTAGCACAGCACTTGGCACTTAGTAAAAGTATAGTGGTGAGGAGGTGTTGTTAATAGAGTTACAGTAATGGTGGTAATTATTATTTTACCTGTATCTATGGTAGCCTTATAATGGGATTTATTTGGCTGCAGAAGTTCCACAAATTAATATGGTTCTGAATTCTCTTCCATGAAGCACATCTGCACTGCTAATTAATGCTCCAAAACAGCATGATAACCTGTATTGGCAGTAAATTACATCGGTCCCTAAAATTTGGTTTTCCTAAGGAATGGGACACACCACATGCTGTTCTCATTGGAAGCCAGGAAAGAGTGTGAGAAATAAACACTTGGCCTTGAAAAAATATTTGCTTTCCATTATGAGATGTTATTTGGATGTTGTCATATTCTCTATTATTAACATAAAACAAAACCCAATATAAGTAATTTCTGGATTAATTTCACAATTCCTGTATATTTCACAATTTGTCAGCCTTATTTTTCTTTTCTGCCTTGTTTTTCTCAGGCAAAGAAAACAAACAATTGTGTAATATGATCCACAGGCAGAATACAGATCAGCCCTGTGCCTTCTTACTATAGACCCAATGCCCTGAAGTATCCTTTATAGAGGAACAAATCTGAAATTGAATTTTGGTTACCTTAGGTGGAGGGAGGCAGCCAGAGAACGAGCGATCTTCTTTTCGAAAACTCAGATTGAGATTGTCTATGTTGAGTTTGCCATTGGTTGTCCTTAGTGCCATCTTCAAAATCTCCAACAGACCCCTGTTGACTTCTGGCTGTGTGCTGGAGTGTTGAGGTGGAGTGCTGCTTGGAGGGGAAAGGGAGAAGGCTATGAAAGGATGATCCACTCAAAGCAGCTGCATGCTTTCCTACTACATCTCTCAACTTTGCTACACACTGTGAAACCAGAGAGCCCATCCACGAAGGCCTTCTCAGTCTTGGGAACCTGGTCATCAGGGTGCATGCAGACATTTCATAGCTTAACTCAAACCTGCTCCATCTGAGTGAGCTCTACCATCTCTTTTCCAAGATGCACGAACCAATATGTCTACAACAAAGGCCAAAATTCTTTATCTTTATATCTTTTTTTTTTTCTAGGTTGAGACAGAAAATAAGGGATCGCAGTGGTTTACTTTAGCTGCTTGATTATACTTTTCTTCAGCTCAGATAATTACTGATGGCAAATGAAATGTCTAAACTGCTCATTGCCACAAGCAAAGCAAAGAAGATTCCACCAGATCCCCATACCAAGGGAATCTAGTTGCCTTGGAGGAAATCCTGAACCAGCTGAATATCCTGCATTAACCTTGACTCTGCTCCTTATATCTGAAAACCCAGAAATGTTTGGGAGTAATTATCTACTTACAGTCTGGCATGTGAATGTACATAATTATTAAGATGGTCTGTCTAACTGACTATTGTTATTTTAAATAATAGTTGAAAAACAACAGACTGAGATGTTATAGTCACTGATTTTATGAAATGATTTGATACATTTACTCCCTCACAGTTAAAGGTATTTGTTCCTCCAGATCCAGGTGGACTATTGCTTCCTCTGTGAAGCTTTTCTGTTTTCCATTGTCTCAAGTTAAACACCAAGTTCCCTAGAGGGACAGTCCATGACATTGCCCAACTTCTACCCATCTAAATTGGGTTTCTTTCGGTGGTATACTGGTAAATCTTTAACAATCAGCTACACAAGATAAAGCCCTAATTTGTTGCATTACTGATTTCCCTGGTGTAAATACTCCCACCATGGCTGATTTCAGGCTACTACTGTGCATCGCTAAATGAGGAGTTGGGAAGAGGTGTGCATCATCGGCCCTCATGTCTGGCTCTGGCACACCCCTGATTGATACACTTATTCATAGTGCCTTGTTCTTTCCCTTAATAGATCTCCTTCAACTTGCCATCACATCTCTATTTCCTTATTTTTTTCAAGTCTGACTTCCCTAGTAGTCTGCTCTAAGAGGTCAAGTCTTTTGTTCCTTACTGTTCCCTGGGGATCTTGTACAGTACCTGGAATTGATTCATTTCAGATGTATATAACTTTGTCTAAAGGTTATATTATTTTCTTTTCTTATTTCTTTTGGCTCTGTGACTCTCATACAAGGTTTGGCTACAAATTATACTCTTCTGAACTACTTAATAATACATATTTTCCAAAAGTTAGGTACAGAGAAAAAATAGTGGACATATATCTTTATTTTGGTCACCAACTTTTGCATGTGCACTCACCTGTCCAAAAAGTTCCCCAGCTCATGAGATGGTCCACCTCTCACTATGGCAGAGGAGAATGCCAACTATTTGCTTTACCAGGCTAACTTTGCTGCAAGGACACATAACCCAAACACTGCCAATCAGATGTCTCTGTTCCAGATCTGAATCATAAGTCTTCCTTCCTCTTTTCTTGCAAGGACAGTTTCTGGGGATAGGAATTCATGAAGCTTTTGTCCCTAGTTCAGTACACTGAGTACTGAATAGGCAGGTGTTGTATGGAACCCATTTACTGCAGCTGGTAGGGTTAGAAGGCCTGTTGGCAGGAATTTGTTTCATCTGGTCCAATTTAGGAGATGAGAGCTGTTGCTACCCCTGCTGCCACTGGCAATGCTGGAATCTTTTAAAACATCACAGAGCTACCCTATTAGAGGTTCTACCTGACAGAACATGGGAAGGGAATTTTCCTGATGCAGACATTAACTAATGAAGGGCCTGGCTTTATTACAGGCCATAAGTTGTGCATTTCTACAAATATACTGTATGGTTTTTATAAAGCAGCGCGTTCTCTGATGAGCTCAAAATCATTTATTTCTGTGCCTCTTCTGTAGAACAGATATCCAGGTATCCCTGAAAGTAAGTTTCTGTAAGCTCTTTAGATAATTGGAGGTGCCAGTTACATTCAACAAATATTATTGAGCATCTCCTGTATGCCAGGAACTATGTTAGAACTATGCTAGACACAGAGTTAGCCAGGACAGCCATGATTCCTAACCTCAAATGTCAAATAAATAACTGAAAATACTATAATAGCTATGAAGGAGAAGGGCTATGGGACTATATAACAGAGATCTAACCTTATCTAGGTATCAGCAAAAGCTTCCAGTCTAGGACTCATAAGACCTTATCTGCCAGGGAGTGGCCATGTATTCTACTGCATGGTCTATGACCTCTCAGGGCCAAAATTTTACAGTATGTATTGTGTGAAGGGTAGTTTCTGATTGGTAAAAATGTCTAGGGCTTTATGGCTCTCAGTAAGACAGTTGCTCCCAGAGTGATATTTGACTGGAGTGCCCACATGGCAGTATTGTTTTCTTTATAGATGAGCCCTAAAGGAAGAGACTAGGCCTTGTCAATCCTGGAATTCACTGTGCCCAGCAAAGTAAGCCTGGCAAACAGCTCACATTCAATAAGTGGTGAAGGTATCACAGTCAAAGGGGGCACACTGTAGGAAAGAATCGAGTCCAACAGTTGGTCCAAAGACATTTCAAAAAAACAACGAAAACACCCCACCTTTTTCCTAGAGTAAAACACTTAACTCCAATGTCATGGCTCTTAACCACCATGTCACATTGTTTGTAGCTGAAAGGAGTCACTTCTAGAAGAACAGTTAAAAATAATAAAAACACTTACATAGTACTTACTATGTACCAGGCACTGTCTTTAGAACTTTGCATTTATTGACTCAGTTACTCTTATAAATCAATGATATTCCCACTTGACAGCTGGAGAATAGAAGCACAGAAATGCCAAGGTCACATAGCCCCAAAATGGCAAAGACAATAGTTGAGGCCAGGCTTCTGCAACGGAGTCTGTGCTCCTAACCACTGCAATTTGTCACCTTTTTTTTGAAAACAAGAGAATTTCATACTTTATTGCATTTAATCTCTGATTATATTCTTCACATCCTATTTTTATTTTGAGTACTTTCTTTCCTGTGCAATTATATGAAGTGACTATTGATGCCTGAACCCCAAACCTTTTTTTTTGCTAGTGTCTGCAACCCAGGAGCTGACTGACTGAACATCTTTTTGGAATCACACTTTATAGATGAGCTGTGCACTCGTACACAATCATTTCTTATTTCATAATGAGGTTTTTCATTTTCACACAGCAACCTCATAAAAAGACACATGCTTGATGTTAAAAAACATATGCAATTGCTGCAAATAACTTTTTATGTTGGCCTGCGCACAAAAAGAGAGAGAGAGAAAACTCTGAGCATAAGCCAAGTTCTGGGGAAGAGCAAAGTGATTCTGCATTGGGTGAGGTATTCGAGTGAACGCCTTCAAGATCCCTGCCAGCTCTAGGAGTCTAGTGCCATGGACTGACTGCGTCCCCTCAAAGTTCTCGTGTTGAAATCCTAATACCAATGTGATAGTATCAGAAGGCTGGGCCTGTGGGATTTGGTCATGAGTCCTCATGAGTGGGATTAGTGCCTGGCTTAGTCTATTTTTGGGCTGCTATAACAGAATATCTGAGATTGGGTGATTTATAAAGAACAGATGTTTTATTTCTTCAGTTCACAGGGGTAAGAAGTGCAAGGTTGGTGGTATGCATCTTGCAGGGACTTTCTTGCTGCGTCATTCTATGGTGGAAGGCGGAAGAGCAAGGAGAGGCAAGGGTGAGAGACAAACCCAGTTTTACAACAAATCCACTCTCTTGTAAGTAACTCACTCCTGATATCATGACATTAATGCATTCAAGAAGGCAGAGCCTTATGATGTAATCACCTCTTGTTAGGTCCCATCTCCCAGTGCTGTTGTTGCATTAGGGATTAAGTTTCCAAGACATGAGCTTTGGGAAGTTCGTAGCGTATCTTTGTAAGGAGAAGCCAGAAAGGCAGTGCACTCTCTTTCTGCCATATGGGGCAGGTACAGAGAGAAGTCAGTAGTGTGCAACCCGGGAGAGTCCTCCCCAGAACTCAACCATGCTGGTGCCCTGATCTTAGACTTTCAGGCTTTGCTTCAGAACTGTGAATCATACATATATGTTCTTTATAAGCCACACAATTTACGGAACTTTTTTATAGCATCCCACACAGCCTAAGACACCTGGGAACAATATGCCCACAAAAAGGGAGAAGAGTACCTTTGGCTATGATTGCCATGACTCTCAGTTTTCCTCTGGTCTGCAACTGCTTTATTTTGCTGCGAATAGTCTGAAGCTGCACTGTTTAAAAACCAGAGTAGCTTCTCATAATTCACCTAAAAATTAAATATGAAACAGAACATCCTCATTTAATTTATAAGTAAGGAAAGAGGCCTGCTGAGATAAAATGTATTTGGCAAATTTTTAACAATTAAACATTTAAAAAAACACTTAAAATATGATATCATAATTATTTGTGCTTTTTAGCAAGGATTATTATTCACCCTCCTGAAAAAATGGTAAAATTGTACTTCCTGGTTGTCTTGTGGTTGGGTAAGGCCATGTGACTAGTTCTGGCCAGTGTATTATAAGCAGAACAGAGACCCTGTGAGCTGACATGAGACCTCCAGGGCTCTTTTTCCCCTTCTGCTGTCCTGTCCAAAACTATCCTAAAGTGGCTGTTTCATCATCCTGGGTCCTGGAGCTAAGCTGATGATGGTGTTGAGAAGAACTATGGCTGGCTCTATGGAAATATAAATAAAAAAAAAAAACCAACCTTTTGTTGCTGTAAGCCACAAACATTACTACAGCATAACCTAACCTTAGCCTTTCTTTCTATTCTCACCTCTCCCCTGACTCTCTCCCTTGTTCTTTCCCACTCTTTATTATATATGGCATATTCAGCAGATATATTTAGATATATTGAGCAGATATATTCAGATAATCTGAAGACAAAAATTTATTAGGCTAGGTGAAAAATCTGAAGACCCTTTTTCTGCATAGGAAAGGACTGAAGGAATGTCATCATTTCCACTGCTAAGCTGGATGTCATCCCAGGGACTCTGGTGGACAGACAGCTCCAGGGTAGCAGAGGGGTGAGAAGTGGGAGAGAAAAGCTAGATAGGGTCCCTGATAGAAACTAGCTCTCAGGCCAGAAGATTTGGGTGAACTGAATATTCAAATAGGTTGTACTAATACATTCATATTGCATTGCTAAATACTTCTCATAAATATATAACTAATTCTATTCTGTTGCATTTATCGCATTACTAAATCCCAAGACTAAATTTGCAAGATTGGTTTTGGCCTGGTTTTCTGGATGAGATCATTGAGGCACGGGAGAACTTAAGTAGAGTGTGCTCCGTGTCACAGAGCTAATGATGGTGGGATTGAGATTAAAGTCCAGGCCTTCTTTTTTAAGGTCTGTGCTGTCTCTTGCCTTTCTCTTCATACATGCTCACTAATGATTTTTCTTATTGCTATTACTTCTTCCTATTTTAGGGTATTTTCCTCTGGTTCCCTGAATTTGGTGACACTTGGACTATACTTTATATTCAGACATAGGTATGCGCTTAGAAAATAAAGTGCCCAAGGAACTCTGGCCCTGTCATTGGGGAACTTGTGTCTTAGCATTGGGTCTGCCATTAATTCTCTGGGTCTCCTGAGCAAGTTCCAGCAAAACCTTTGGGCCTCAGTTCCCTAATCAGGAAATTTCAAAGATACCTCCCACTTGTAACTTTCTAGGAAATTGTGATGATAAGAAGGAGATCTTAGTTCAGGCTGACAATGTAAGTTGGGGCAGGGAGACCCTTTAAAGATAAATTAAACAGATTGAAGAGACCTAAATCTATTTTCTATTCTAACTAGAAATTTCTACACATGAATATAAATAAGCTTTTAATCATAATAGTCAGTGTTACCACTGCAAGAAAGTAGCTAACTTCTTCATCTGTTACCCTGGTGGGTATGAATTAAAGAAACAAAAGGAACCCACACTTCCAATAGCAAGGTGGCCATACCATTTCAGGAGAGCCCCTCTTAGAAAATCTCTGACAAAGGATTTTGACTGTTGGTAACTGTAGAGGGAGTTCATGCCTCAAAAAGAGATGGCTCAGCTGAGATTGGAGAAGAAATCCTGAAGATATTGGGTCCAGGATCTTCAGCTCTGTCTGAAGCTTTTCTAATAAGTTGGATCTCAAAGGACGAGACTTGAGTTCTCTTCTGACCAGAGCAAGAAGAAAAGTGTCTTCGTTTGTTGTCCCTCTTGGCCTCTGGCCAATATCCTAACACACAATGAAACACAGAGCAGGACTCTTCAATTAGCCAGTAAAGACCAAAGCAAGGAAGCAGAGGCACACTGGGGCTGGTATCTGAGCACCCACTCTCAGGTCTGGCCTGGAGCAGGACAAGTCAGTGGCACTGAAGGTGAGCATTCAATCTGGTGTATTCATTATTTACAATGCATCAGCTCTTTTCCTTCAGGAGAAGAAAGCAAATCCTAGAGTATATGGTCTGGTAGAAGATGCTTTAACATACATCATTTGCCTTTTTCAAAATAACTGCTTTGATGGTATGAGAATTTAGAATAACACATTTTGGAGACCCATGGTACTGGGAGTTTAGCATGGGTGATGCAAATCAAAGACGATATCTATAACCTGACTGAGTTAACTGGGAGCATCGTGGCCCTTCTGAGCTCAGCAATTCCTAGAAAAGGAAGAAGGTTGGAGGAAGATGAGGAGTTCGGTTGAAATTTTTAAGATTTGCCTGTGACTCCCCAGGACACTTCCTGGAAAGCTGACTGGATAAACAAAGTCTGGTGTCTATTTGTCCATTCTCAGACGGTCTTTAAATTTTTTTTATGGAGGTGGGGTCTCACTATGTTGTCCAGTCTGGTCTCAAACTCCTGGCCTTAACTAATCCTCCCACCTTGGCCTCTCAAAGTGCTGACATTACAGGCGTGAGCCCCTATGACCAGCCCTCAGACTGTCTTATCATCTGCTCCACATCAAAAAATACTGTCCACAAATAATACTCCTTCATGCACAATAGAAACAACACAACAACTCTTAGAATACACACCTCATGTTGGTCAGAGCCACCTCTCACCATCTGTTCCAGGGACCAGTCTCTAAGCTTTCTCCTGGGAATGCCATGCACATAGGATAGGGACTGGTCTCCAGCTGGCACAGAGCAGCAGTAGACATCTGCCCGACCGGGAATCTTAACGGAGCAAGGACAAAGGGAAGCAAGGAGCAAAAGAGGACGCAGGGAAGAGAAAGAGAAAAGAAGGGAGAAAATGAGTAAGCCAACCAATTTCTTTAAGCACAGTCCTAGTCCTAAACGAACTTCTGCCCATGTATCATCAAGTCATTGAATCATCACTGAAGAAAGCTTGCCTTCACACCAATTTCAGCATTATGCATTAACACATGTTAGATAAATATATTCACACGGAGGCATGTCTCATTTGGGCAGAAAAGTATCTGTGATAGGCAAAAAAAAAAAATAGGTAAACATAAGGTATGTATAGGCAAATGTGAGGTTAATATTAGATAGAGAAGGGCGTCATTAGGCTGTTTTAATTAGCAGGTTCAGGAGGGAAGCAAAGGTAATTGTTAACTTTGACAAGAGATGAAAAAGCTCAGAATATTATACTTCAGGAGTAATGTTATTTTTTTATTTATTATTACTTTTTTTTGAGACCGAGTTTCGCTCTTGTTACCCAGGCTGGAGTGCAATGGCACGATCTCGGCTCACCGCAACTTCCGCCTCCTGGGTTCAGGCAATTCTCCTGCCTCAGCCTCCTGAGTAGTCAGGATTACAGGTGCGCGCCACCATGCCCAACTAATTTTTCGTATTTTTAGTAGAGACGGGGTTTCACCATGTTGACCAGGATGGTCTGATCTCTTGACCTCGTGATCCACCCGCCTCGGTCTCCCAAAGTGCTGGGATTACAGGCTTGAGCCACCGCACCTGGCCAGGAATAATGTCATTAAAAGTTGCAATAGAATAAATGATAGAAGTAGAATCAATAATAAAATCCTGTTCTCTCTTGCCATGGAGCATGGTATATTAATTGTGTTTTTAAGTCATTTATGTTTTATGGTGTTTTGACATCTTGAGAAAGTGGGCCTTGCTGGTTGGCGGGAACTGTCCCTGCCAGGACTAGCTAACTCCTAGAGAAGTAAACATACAACTTGCCTGCTAACACACCTTTCATATGCAAACCAGTCCTGAGCCGAAACCCCCAAATACCTCCTTTATTTAACTCCCACACACCAAGCCTTTATTCTCTTGTCCTAAATAAATCCAGGACTAAGTTTCAGACAACTAGGGATAGTCACTCTGCCCCAGAGTTGGTGGAATTATTCCAATGTGCCAGTTCTAAGCTGTTTGCTGTGCCCTGCTTTGACTTTCCCATGTAAACCCCATAGAAAGGCTGTGGCTTGTGCTTTTCTCTCCTTGCTCCTCCTTCTGCCTCCTTGAAGTCCTCAAGTGGCCCTGTGTGGTGTGGAATCCCTCATTCTCTTGTGAAATAAAAACAATGAACTCTTGTTTCAAAGGCAATTGTCTCCAAGTCTGTTATCTCACCATAACCGATTAAAACAAAAACTCAGTACAAATTGAGATACAAGGTAGGTAGTACTAGCACACTTTTACATTTGGACAGCCAAGGCTTGCAGAAGTTAAATAATTTTATTCCTTCATTTAAGAAACATTTATGGTTTGTTTAGTGTGGGCCAGGCACTGTCATAAGCCCTACAGTGAAAACAAACAGACTCAGTCCCTGCTCTCACAGAGCTTGCTGATGGTGGGAGGCACAGCAAGTAATGGTGATAATAGAAAAGGGATTCTACAGGCCACTCTCAGAAAAGTCCATGGGTCCACCTGATCTGGACTTGGTGGTCCAGGTCTGAAGGCAATGGCATCTAAATCTAGGCTTGCAAGATAAGTCAGATTTGGATTTGGATAGGCCAACAAGTGGGGAGAGAGGAGGAGAGGACAAGAGGGTTACATGAAGAGTGAACTGGATATAGAAAACCTCCAAAGTGCATACCTGTAAGAGAGAGATGATGCTTTCAGAACATAGTTTGACTTTTGGAAAAGGCAAAAGGTAAGTCTGGAGAGAGAGAGGCAGGAGAAAGGCAATGAATTACCTTTAGCCTTGTTAGTATCTGTGCTTTATTCTGAGGGCAGTGGGAACCATAAAAATATTATTAATAGAGCAATGACTAGATCAGACTTGTCCAAAACTTACTGCCTAGTAAATTGTGCCGACATTTGAATCCTGCTTTTCACAATTACCCTAGGATGAGAGAGATTCAATGTTTAGTCCACAGAGCAATTTTACTCTGTGAAATATTTGGCTAAGTATTTCAGACATATTCTTCACAGGACAATATGTTTCTTTGCAAATTATTTGTAATATAAAATATTTCAATTTTCAGCCACATTCAAAATTTTTTTTTTTGCCTCTGAGAGTTTATATGTTTCTATGTGATGGTGTTTTAAAGAAGTGTTATCAATACTTCATCATTCCATGGGTCAAGGTATCTTTCAGTTGCCTTTGCTTTCATTTAAACATGAAAATATATTAAGTGCCTTTATTCTTGTCACTACAGACACAAATGAACAAGGCAGGTGTGACTCCTTCCATTATAGTTCTAGACATCATAGACTGAATTTTGGGCTTCACCTATGGAAATAGGAAAATATACCGTACTTCCAGGAATGCTGTGAAAAATGGTTGTTATGTATTTTAAATATTTTATACGTTCTAAAAGCTTATAATATATTTATTTGCTGTATTTTGTGTATCTCCCTCCCATAATATGACCTCCATGTGTCTCAGGACTCTGTCTTGTGCCTGGCTGACACCCCTACATCCAGAACAGCCCTGAGTCTGCTGAAAGACTAGAGTAACAGCATGGGAGAATAGGGAGGAGCTCTTGGTGCAGGAGTGCAGGCCTGCTGCAGGCTGGGCTTCAGATTTCTCCCTTGATTTAAGTCACCTGGGGCTGTTGTTTTTCCAAAGCAAAGAGTGTTCCCAACATGTCAAAAAAGATAAAATGGGAAATTTTATCAATATCCTCCATTTCTGAACTTGGGATTTGTCAGAGCACCTACAAAGTCTCTAATATCATAGGTTTCCCTCATTTGGTTTACTTTGAATCACAAAATACCACTTGGGGACCAACACCATAGCCTGAAGTGACTTCAGTCAATCCTAGTTGTGTGATGTTTGCCTGAAAGAACTGGTGCAAATGAAGCACAGAAATCTCACACAGATTTACTAACTCTTCTGGGGGTGTTGGAACTTGTAAGAGTTGGAAATGTAAACAAGTCTTTTAAAGATTGCTTATAAATAAAACTATTTTTGAGTGTGTGTGGAATCATGCACATTCTCTTTCGAGAGAAGTGAACACAACAAATCATCTTAATATTATGCAATGGATAGCTGTGGTTTGGGAGAAAATTTCCAGACAGAGCATTAATTGCAGATGTGAAAAGTTGTTTCTTCAACACTTAGACCAAGGTACTGGGGTGTTCCAGAAAGCTGTTAAATGGCTCAAAAATCGGCACTAGTGATAATGAAGACAGCCATGAGAAACATCAATTAAAAGGTCTGATACATTTTTTTAAGAAATGTAGACTTAGAAAAAAGGTGTTTCCAAATTAATATTATATGTAACATGATTTTGAAATGTGCTTTAAACAAATTAATACAATACATATCAATATTAATCATTTGACTATTTTACTCATATTTGTAAAAATGTATATTTTATTTACATTTTAACTTTTACTTTTGGAAACTTCAAGCGCAGGTACATGTAGAGATAACAGCATGATGAGACCCCCTGTGCTCATCCCCAAGCTTCAATGATCAATTGACAATCTTAATTTATTTAAACCCGCATTACCCCTACAAGAGATTAAGTGAAGCCAGACAAGGTATTATATGTCCACATTATTTCAGCATGTGTTTATAAAGTAGTGGTTCTTAAAGTGTAGTCTTTGGGTCTGAAGTTTCAGCTTCACCTGGGAGTTGGTGAGAAATGAGAATTCTTGAGACCCTTCTCAGACCCACTAAATAAAAAGTTGTGGGATGGGGCACAGAAATCTGTGTTTGAATAAGTCCTCCGATAATTCTGATGCACACTGAAGTTTGAGAACCACTGCCCCAAGAATAAGAACTCTTTTAAAATACACAATAACATTATAACACTTAAAATAATTTCTCATTATTAACAGTAATTCCTTAATATCACCAAATGTCTAATCAGTGTTTAAAATCCCCTAGTTGTCTGGTAAATCTTATTTTTATAGCTTGTACATTCATAATAAGAACAATATGTTGCAATAGGTTAATATCTCTTCTTCCTTCCCTCCCTCCCTCCCTGCCTCACTTCCTCCCTCACTCCCTTTCCCTCCCTCCCTCCCTCTCTCCCTCCCTTCTCTCTCTCTCTCTCTCTCTCTCTCTCTTTCTTTTCCTTTCTTTTTCACTGCAGCCTGGTCTGAACTCCTAGATTCAATCAATCCTCCTCCTGTCTCAGCCCCCAAGTAGCCAGGACTAGAGGTGCACACCAGCACACCTGCTAACGTTTTTAGTTTTTTGTAGAGATGGAGTCTTGCTATGTTGCCCAGAGTGGCCTTGAACTCCTGACCTGAAGCAATCCTCCTACCTTGACCTCCTAAAGTGTTGGGACTACAGGCATGAACCACTCCATCCAGCCTTACATCTTTTTAAATGTCTAGTCTTCACACGCTGCCCCTTTAGTTACTATTTTTTCTTGCAATTGTTGAAGAAGCTGTGTTGTCTGCACTGCAGAGTTTTACACAGTCTGGATTTTGTTTCTGGCATCCCGATGCTGTTTTTTGAAAAAGTTCCACTTATTTCCTGTAAAATAGTAGTTAAATCTAAAGTCTTATTTGTATTCAAGTTCACTTTTATTTGGCAAGACATTTTTATATGTGGTATATTTCCCCATGGAAGCAAATGTTGTCTGATTGTCTTTTTGGGTCATATTTACAAGCACTTATATGCATTGCTTAATTTCATTTTTTTATTAGGTCTTTGCAAAATGCTGATAATCTTATCCCCCCATTACTTCTTCATTCATTAACAGAAACAGTTCTTTAAAGGGAAACGTCCCTTCAACTATCACTTCAGTACAGTTTGCATAGAAAATGGCAAACTGAATAAATGCTTGGTTTTT